TTCGTGAATTAGATATTGGCAAAGAAAACTTTTAAAATAGACAAATGTCAAAAAACAGTTGAATTATGATCATTATAACTCAATTGTCAATACATTAACATAGTATATGTATTTAACCACGCACTGCATACTTTTTAGTGCACATTAATCAAACTCACGAGTTTCTTCTAACGAATGACAGAGAAAGATTTAATTTTTTAATTAATAGTTTAATTAAAATGTCAATTCTATATAAAATTCTTGTTATTAATAAATGAACAAGAGTTTATATTCTCAATAATAATAATAAAATGAACTTTAGGTATCCAATAATTTAATTGATTTTATATATCCCATAAAATAATACAAATTGCAGTAAAATGATTAATTCTTTTTATATAAATTTCTGGTAACATATTCTAATTAAATTATTTACTAATTTTTATTACTCTAAAAGTGTTTACAAATTACAACTTCATAACTGTCACATAATTAATCACTTTTATTTTTTTATCAATAACATTTGGTACCATTTTAGCATCCAGTTCGTTGTATTACTTGATGCATATCAAATTGTTTGAAGTAAATTATTTCTTGGAAATTATTAACATGCTTTGTTTACCTAAAGATATGACAATATTGTTAGTCGAACATATCAGCAATTCGAATGTGGCGATTGTCCCTTATCGTTGACGTTGTGCTCGTTTTGTGCATGTCGACATCTAGTCTATAGGCTCTAAACACAAATTATCAGTTGTTTTTGCTGGACGAATTGTTTGAAGAAATCGCAAGGTCTGTCAAGAATTAATGACTGACGATATATCTGTAAAACGATTTATGAGCAAAACTTTTTTTAAACTTTCCGAAAGTATCGCTCAAACAAGTGTCAGTTTAAAGCAGATGTATATATTATATTTCTCGTTTGACCTGATTTTATAATGAAAACATATTCGTATAAAGATGAATTGAGACTTTGTCCTTTTATCTGAACTCAACAGTAGAATATTTCACTAATAATAAATTTAATTCATAAGCTATAAAAAATTCTACTTACATAAAAAAACATATCATTTAAAAATCTCATGTTAATTTATTTAAATTAAAAAATTTGGAATAAAAACAATAGTTTGAATAATTCAAACTGAAATATACGGAATAAAAAATAGAGATCACTAGATAATTATTTCTTGAGCTAACATAGAGGGTCTAAAATTAATAAAGGAACTGATTAATTGCAATTTTTCAGTTATTAATTAATTCAAATTAATAGTAAAATTTTTTTTTTTTAATAAAAATTGTATTTTATTAATGATATTAAGAGACAATTTTTTTTTAATAAATTTTTTTTTTTCCTGAATGAAAAATTAAAATTTAGTTTTACTTTTCTAAACAAAAAAAAGGATTTGTTGATACGTTTCTTTAAACCTAAATCTTTGACATTTTAGCTCAATAAATTTGACAACTCTATTCTAGGGTAACTGAAAAAAATTTAATTCTACAATCATTGTTTTATTATTGAAAAATATTAGATATTAAAGGTGTACATTTAAATTTTCTTCTCAAAAATACAACTAACATAGTTTCAAACTACTGTATTAAAATTATAGTTTTATAGTAATTTTAAGTTTCAAAATAATTGTCTTTTAAATAATTTGATATTTATTGATTAACACTAGAGATGTGAAAAGGTCTGATTACAACTGCATAATCAAATAAGGTAGTAAAATAAATATACATAATAATATATATATATATATTAAGTTAGAACAAATATTTATTGCTTAGATTTTTATTATGGGAACATAAAAAATTTGGAAATAACACTTTTAAAGCATAATAGTTATATATTTTAAATAAATTACTATCAAAATTTATAATCTATCGAATTTAATGCGTAATCATTAACACTAATCACTTGGTGTCAAAATAATTTTACAAATAAAATAACTTCTATTAATTAAAATTACAGTTATAAAACCTGTAGGCTATTAAATTGGCTAACAGATATTTAACCTAACATTTTACTCGTATAGATAGTCATTCAATGGTTCATTTAGTATGTTTTAACAATGAAAAATATTATTTAAAATAATTACATATTTTACATTATTTGTTTCACAGATGGATTGCATCATATATTTACTTTTGATCAGAGTTCACAATTAACACCTTCGCCATTAAACAAACTGGTTGTAATTTGTACAGTGCAATGATCTAAAAAAATAGACTGCATAACGCAAATATTACGTTTTAGAGACGTCATACGACAATTACACAGTCATAATAAGTTCAAATTGAAATTTTTGACAATATATAAACTTAAAAGTTTTTTTAATTATAAGGTCTCTACAGATAATAAAACATAACGAATCTTATTGTATTTCCAATTAAAAATATTTCTTTAAGAAATTATATTTTAATATTCCGTTTTGAAAATAAAATATTATAATACATGAATGTATTTTCATTAAATGTATAAAAACACATTTATGAAATTTATTTTTAATGTTAAATTTAAATTTAAAGTGCAATAACTAGTTATAACGATTGGAAATAAATTTTTTAGATTATTTTTGATTAAAATTAACTTATTCAAATGTTACAGCAATTTTACTTAGATGTACCTAAGTCAAATTAAAATTATAATTTAAATATTTATTCTTATTTGATGCATCTATAAAATAATATACTTAGTCAAATATTTAATTTATATTTGATCATATAATTTATAGATCCCTCATAGTATTGTGATGAACTATTAAAAATTGAACTAAGCTTTGATGGTTTTTGTTCGATGATTTTGAACTATACAAAGTTTTAGTTGAGATTCCATTTCAAAATAAAAAATTTTACTCGTTTTTATTTATTATAATTGTGAAAATGTTTATTATTCATGAATTCTTTTCTGGGTTGTAATGTTAATCTCAAACTGTTAAATCTTGAAATAAAAGATACAACAGTAAACAATTTAAGTCAAACAATATGAGAATTAAAGAGAACAAAAGATGCTTCATGTTTATTTAACCAACTCCACATCATGAAATATTATACAAACATATTATAAATAGCTAGACTTTATCCATTAGATATGGAAAAGTTTAATTACAATACTGTTATGGTTATCATCATTTTTTTTTGTAGTCGAGACTCAATTCAATTACTCTGACCCTTTAATGAATATTAACTCCGTAGGTCGATTTGTTGGATTATTTCAAATATAAAATACATTTACTCGTATATTACATGTACGTCTTTTACCTGAAATAAAAACATCTGTAGACATGCTAAACATAATATTGTACTCAGTATACTTTAATTCCGTAAAACACTGAAGTTTTTAATCAAAAATACATTGTATTAAAGTGTTTGAAACAAAATTTTATTTATTTTAATTTTTAACAAGGGAACATTATATTAACTGATTCTTAGGTCATAATTAATATTTATAAGCAATACTTGGAAAGTTAATGAAAATTGTAAAATCTATTAGTTAAATTGATTTATTCCTAAAATTATAGACTTAGAATTTAGTAAATAGAAAGTTAGTGCTAATAGAAATATTAAAATTTGTAATTGAAATAATTGTTAATAAAAAATTTATTTGTAAAAATAATTTATTGATTAAGGGGCTAACTGGTAAAAAATTAAGATGATATAATAAATTTGAAATTCAATAGGTCAATCAACTTTTAACTTAGCAATATCACTTAAATTTTTCGTTTAACAAATTCTCAGCCTTATTTATTAGTACTTAATAGTAAAAATGCTTAATAAAAAAAAGTAATCGCTTTATTGATAAATTTTAATCAAGATAACAATCATTACAGTTAAATCTTTGTATTTTAAAACAAAAATAATAAAACATAATAATGTAATGAAAGGTTAATTTCCATGTATTCATTATCAATAAAAATAAAACCATTTGAGTCACGTACATTGAATAATTATTATTGTAATATCGAAGTTAAATTATTTTTGTTGTATATAATCGCAGTAGTATTGTAAACTTAAACAATAAAGAAAACCTTATTATTTTTTATTGCTATTTACAATCGAGTTGATTAAAATTGGAATTTAAAATTTCTCGACATTATTTTATCTTGAGCGTAAGTAACAATAATAGTAAATTATTAACAAACTAACTTCTGTAAGGATTACATAAAGTAATTTGATAGTTCGTTCATTTTTTTTATAATAAAAGTAATAACAACATTAATTTTAAGAATGAAGTGTAACGATTTAAATAAAATTGTGATAAGTACTTTTACAAAATCAATTTTAATTAAAATTCACTGTTTCGGGCTTCAGAGAAAAAACATTTTTCTCTAATTACCTTTTATAAAAACAACAAATACTCTATTTTAACATTTTATAAAAATTTTTATTTTTATTATAATTGTATAAATCTATTTAATAGTGTAACATTATTCGTCTAAAAAAAGTATAACAATTACATTGCGATATGGCCAATTATAATATAAGTAATGTTTTAAGTATCGTCGAATTTCGGTGCACGTTGAGCGTTTGATTATTATTTACAATGTGTGACACACGAATACTCTACACCGGAAATACCAATTTCGCGTTGTCATGGAAGAATAAATGTTTGCACTAACCGTATTTCTAGTACAGAAATGCATTTTTTTTTTACTCTTTGAAGAGGTTAAATTACCATGATTTTTGTGCAAACTTAGTATTTCTTTTAAGTACTGATGATTTAATATTATCCGAATTATTTTATTCGTGTTTGCTATTTTTACTTATTTGAACAACAATCAAATTTAAAGTATTGTTAATAGCTACTGCAATGAAATATAAGATTTGTTTTTTTTTCAATATTTTTAATTTATACAACACGACGACATTAATTTATAAAGTATTATCAGTACAAATTATATTAAATATTTTTAATGAAATAATTTAATTAAAACGGTACACAAAAAATTGTTTTAGTTTCTACATAATACATTTGATCATGTAATTTGACATTGGAGTATATATTTTGTGTATGCACATGCAAATAAAGACGATTGTTGGTTTTATTATTAATATCATAATTTCTACAAAGGAATTCATGAATATGTCGCTACATGGTTTATATTCACAATGAAACTTAAAATACTAACAAGTACAGAAATAGAAGTCAACATTGTAAAGAAATAAAAAAAAAGCTTAAGACCATTTTGCAGAGCTTTTAACAACATAGAGACGCAAATTAATTTAGTAGGTCAATGTATGAAGCTCGAGGACAAGTTTGCCGGCTACAAAAATAAACGAAGACAAGGCGCATGCCTATGCAACAACAGGTTTATCTGGTGACGCGTTATTTCCAGGCAATCGCTATTTGGTTTTACTATTAATATATATATATATATATATATTAATATAAAAAATATATATATATATATATATTTTTTTTTTTATTGTCGTTATCCGTGATTGTGTCGGGGGACTTGTGTTTTACGTCATAGCCTTCGTTTGACGCAATATCTATATTATTCTAATTAATGGAATTATCATAATATATGAGTGGTCAACACAAAAAATAATACATAACCTCTAGATAGGCTAATATTAAGAAGTATAATTTAACCGGATCCGTAAGTACGTTCATAAAAGTCGATTTCGTGGGGAAGTGCCAAATTACTTCTCCGTCTGGGAATGGATGACAATTGGAAGTCTATAGGTGCTCTCTGATCATAGAGTGACGGAGCTTGGAATATAATGGCGCACGTGCCCACGATACAGGCTAATGTAAACACCCACAAAAAGAACCGGTCGAAAACCATAGATACGAACTTCCAATCTTCAATCACCTGTAAGCAAACCAAACATTATACTATTCAATATTTTATGCTCTAGTCAGTTACTATGTTATAATGTGGGAGTAAATAATTTATCATTTTGTTATTATTACACATAAATAATTAGACGTGTAAAGTATTGATAGCGAATTCGCGTCGCACATAAAATAAAACAGTTCTGAAAACATTCAATGGCGATTCCCATACACCGAAATCTAACGATATTAGTTTTTTTTCAGCGTGTATTAAATAATTTTTGTAGTTGAAAACTCTTGATGAAAGTTGCATAGCAGACAAGTGATTTATTAAATGATAAGTGATACATTACAACTTTAAATATTGAACCATATCCATGTTTAACCTAAAAAGTGCCTCTACGCATTATCAAATATACAAATATATTGACAAATATAGATAATATTTATATTTCTCATAAAAACTCGCCTAGAAAAATTAATCATTCCGGTTCAAGTTGGGTAAAGTATAAGATTCAGCGATTAGGAGATTAGAGGATAACAATAGATTCATAACTCATTTAACCGATTGTTTTAATTTTTAAACATAAAATATACAGTTAAAGTAATATTTAAATATACTATTTTCTATATATAAAACGGAGTATACCCTTTTATGAGCTTTTTGAGGTACCTAGGTTTAAATTTATAATTTATAATTGTAAAAGCAGCTTTTCATTGACTACCATACAATTTTTTAAACCATAATTAATACGAAAAAAAATTATTGGAGACTATTTTTATTCAAGGTCATTTCTGTTCAAAAATAAATTTGGATGCGTATTAACCAAAATCCTCAAAGTAAAGTTCTTGGTAAATTTAATTGCAGCATATTTGCAAAAAATATTGTTTGAAACAATTTGTAAATATAAATATGTCAATTGTTTTATTTTAATAACTCACAAAACTCGCTTGATCGCATAGAATAATTTTACAACAAATAAAAAACCAGCGATTACTATAAGAATTACTGCAACCTATGTTATCAAGTATACTTACTTCTTTATCTTTATCAGCATCTTTAATATGTTGAGCAATGTAACATACTCCCTGTAAAGCCTTGAGTAAATCTGGCGACATGGTTTTAGGGAGAACATTATCAGCTGCAACAATCCATTTTTGTTTTTAATTAATTTAATTATACAATAAAAATAAAGGCAATAAATTAATTGTTTTACCAAAAAATGTATTTCGTTATCTTGTAAAAATAAGTTAAGATCTAAGTAAATTTATTGCGTTATCACAATTTTTAGGAAAAATTGTACATAAATATAAAAACGTTTTCTAACTTAATAATAATAAGATATGTTCAATGTCAAATGACTCATTAAACTTGACAAAATATCGAATAATAAAAATAATAATTATATATAATTACTAAACGACTGGTCGTCAAATTTTAAAATTATAAATATAGACTGGAAGAGGTAAGGCATGTTTTATTGTTAAACTAAAAGTATGAAATATTCATGTAAAGCTGCACCTATTGTAAAGCTAAAATATTAATGTAAAGTCGGCATCATATACAATATGTGTTTTTAACAAAATCTCTTTTCTCGATTTCTTAAGTGAAAACATAAGGTAGACTTAAAAATTTAATGACTCAATAATTAAAAACGTATAAAAAGACTATAAAACAATGTTCAATTCAACTTTTGGAATATAAATTTGGTCAGTAAAGATTTTAGATGAATATTCAATAAATTTTAAAACCACGGTAAATAAATAAATAAATAAATAAAAACAGACTACCGTAATTTAAATTAAAGTAAACATATAAACAATAAGAAAACAAAATTTTCTTTTTTTTTTTATTTAATGTTTAAAAATATTTTGAAATACTTAAACATTTGGATGAGAAAAATAGTAAAATAACTTATGTAAATATGTTATTTTTCTTTAATAAATATAGATGTATGTTATACATTTATTTATTAGTAACTAAAAAATATTTAAAATAACTAATTAATAAATTGTTTATTTAAAACGAATAATTTAAAAATAAGTACCCTTCTTGTTATCAAACTCATTTTAGTTAAGAATTAAAAACGAAATACTTGAGATAGAAAGTTGTTTCTGAAGAAATTTTCTTGAAAATTTACTATCTATGATTAATATTTAAACTCTACACCTCTTTAAGGACTTCCTTTTTTCTTTTAACAAACCTTTAAAAACTATAATATTAACATACATTAACACTTACGATAAACACGCGGTTGTACAGATTGAATCTTTTTGAAAGACCAATGTCTCTGAGTCAAAGACGCTGGTGGTTTTAGATCAACTCCGCCACTGTCACTAATACTATCACGGCTTTTGTTTGAGGAACAAACAATTATAATTTTTACATTATTTTACACTTTTACAGAAAATTAAGGTAATGTTTTTACAAACCTAATTAAATCAAATTACCTGTAGTCCAATTCACTGAAATATCCAGGAGAACTTTGAAAACCATCGTTTGTCATTAACGAATACGGTGGCCGACGCATCATTAGAATTTGAGGCATCATATGCAGAAACACGGTTCTTACCCACGGAGTGAGAGTATGTGTAGATGGTGACCTTAGAAATTATACAAAAATAAATCCGTGTATTATTTAATAATGCACAATTTTGATCCTCACCGAAAATGAATATTTAAAACCACCACTGTCATGCCTATAGACATTGAAACTAAGACCATAGTGAAGAGCAGATATTTACCGAGAAGGGGTACTGCAAGGGATGTTGGAGGAATAATTTCAGCCAAAAGCAAAAAAAACACAGTTAGTGAAACAAGTATGTTACTGCATAAAGTGACCTATAACGCAAAAGTAAAAACGAATAACAGTAAAAAATAGAGTAAATTAAATATATACGATTGTTATGTAGAAATAGTTTACTTTTTCTCCAGAATCTGATGGTAAATAAAACACTAAAACTGTCATGAAAGTAAGGCCAACGCATGGAATTATCAAATTTACTGTATAAAATAGTGTTTTGCGTCTCATTTTAATGTTGAAAGTAATATCTATAAAAAAAATAATTATAATTTTATATCGTAATAATAATTTTGAGATTGCTATAATTGCAATTAATTGTGCTTAAATTTTAACATATTTACCGGGATATGGTTCAGAACAACACGGGTAATATTCTTCGTTTCTATAAGCAGGAACTTCAAGCACGTCCCACTCGACGGACAAATAAAATTCACTGAGATCTATACCGACATCTACTTTATTACTACCTGAAGTTTGATCAATATGCCTCAGATCCACCTAAAATGTATTGTTTAGGATCATATATAAAAATACTAGTTGACATAAAATCATTGAATTCTTCAAAAACTCACCTGAACTCCATTATATGTCCAGGAACCAAACATCATGTAACAAGTTTGTTCATCAAACGGAAAATAAAGCACATTAATTTCACAGTAAGATTTGTAAATTGCTGGCGGTGTCCACAAAACTTCTCCAGTATACTTTAGTACGGCTTTCGTCATTAAAGTCACTTCATAATTTCCGTCAGCACTATAAAAGATAATCCATCAAGTAAATACATATGACACTGTGAATGCAAGAAAGCTGCATTTCGAAAAAAAAAAACAGTTTTCGTGATAAATGACATAACGTTTTGACTTTCCATACTAATTACATTGTTTTTAACATTTATATTAAGTTGAAATCAAAATTTGTTTAAATATCTGAGTATATTGAAATAAAATTAAATAATACCAAACTATCAAATATGAATTTAAATATATTGCATTTATAAAGTGACATATAAAATAACTTTAAACAAAATAAACTCTGAATATCAGCAACAAAATAGTAAAGATTGATTTCACATTTTCTAATTTCATTAAAAATCATGGGAAAGTAATATAGACATTTGAGTTTAAAAGTCATAAAGTAAAGAATTTTGCAAATTCCATTTTGAAAAATATTAGTATTGTAAATGGTCTATCAATATTTAAAAATTGAGCATATTGTATATATTTACTTATTAAACAGTACTATATCTGGTAACCAAATATGATCAGATGGTACATAAATGACCTCTAAACCACCGTAGTCGTCAGGATTCCATTTCAAATTACAATCAAACCATTTTTGAACCAGCCAAACACTTGTTGTCATTACTTGACTTTTAAGGTTCTAAATTAAAAACTGTCTTAGATAATTATAAAATTAAAGGGTCCGAAATAATTACCATTTCTGTTAACTGAGTAAGTTTCAAACCCACCCATACAGTTAAATTTTCTGAATGATTATGAACGGGTCTAATCAATCGGTTGTAATTACTTAAGAGATCATCAAATAAATGTTTCTTATGAGGATTACTTTCGAATAAATCTGAGCCTAAAAAATATATATAACTTTTAAATTACGAAAATTATTAAAATAAATAAATCTCAATTTTAATAAAAAAATGTTCATTTATAAAGTATTTAAAAATCCACGTTTAATTAATTTAAAATATTAATAATTAAACTATACATTTCGATGATAAATGAAAAACTAGAAATCAATTAAATGTCTCGGTATTGATTTGTGATATTATCTAAAAAATTTAAAAGTTGAAAATTACTTCATTTAATATAATTTGAAATAATAACAAAATTCAATTTAAAAGAATATGAATTAAAGCAAAAATTACAAATTTGAGAATGTCATGAAAAAGTTGATCTTTTATTAATTATACTAATTTTTACTATTTAACTAAGGATAAATTATATAGGGTGTTCAATAAGTAAGGAAACTGGTTTCTATTGTTCTCATTGTTTGTAACAATTTATCTGTTTCCTTATTTCTGAACATTCTGTGTAATATTCAATAAAAAATAATAGTAATTTAATGGTCAAAATATACACTAATTTTAATAACTTCTTTAATTGTTTTCTATTTTTATCTTTGGTAGTTTTTTAAAATTAATTTATACATAAAAGTAGTAATAAATGCAAACATGTTAGATTTTGAATGGAATATAAAGTCCATCGTTATCGTTTTTGTTATACCTTTTAAAGGTACATGTTGTTAATTTTTAATAAAAGTCGTAAATATCTTATACAGGTCGTGTAAAATTATATTATTACATTATTTTAGCAATAATACGTACAAATTAAAATTTACATACCATTATATGCCAAAACGTTGCTGCCTAGTTGCAGAAGTAAATGTATTATAACAAAGATATTCATTTCAGAGTAATTTTATGAAAATTAAAAGCAAAATAGAAGTAAATATGGAGCAATTCTCGTGTTGTTAATCAGCTGGCCAAAGTTTTCGCATATAGCCGGAAAAATCAATAAACCACGCCCTCTCATCTCATTTTACAGTTTGCAGATCACAATGGCATTTTTCGGATTTCGCCGCCCTCTATTTGATAATACCGTTGAAAAAGTGTCATTGGCGTCGGGTAGAGGGGGGCTACGGAGGTTTAGGCCCTCAATTTATAATTTAGTAAAAAAAATAATAATAATAATTTAGCCAGAAATCTATCAAAATATTATGCATTGTCATAGAGAAATTATTTTTAAGAAGGAGAAAAATTACATTTAGCTTCTAAAAAAAATTAACTACAATACGTCTATGAAAAGTGTACATTTAAATATAAATGTTGTAGGCGATAAGAATGTATATTGTATTTACGCGTCAAAATTTCAAGGGTATAATAGACCATTATTTAAAAGTACTTGATATGAAAAAGTTAATTTAACACCAAGTATTCTTGTTATTTATAGATCGAAAGGGTTTTTTAACATCGAACTAATACAAATAATTAAAAAGTAAATTCTTGAACTTATCTTATAAACGTATAGTTCATAATATAATTATTTTACTATTATTTTTTTTAAATTTATTATTAAATCTGCAGTTATTAATTATGATCATATACTATACTATTAAAACAATTATATTTTTGTTTTACCTATTTTGAATAGTGTAAGAGTATAATTTATGTAGAGAAGAAAAGCTAAATAGAAATAGCTAAAAATGTTAGATATTATTAATAAAATTAGTATGTTTTTTTAAGATTATAAAACAAAAAAAAATTCTATAACAACTATAAAACTTTCATTATATTTTAGATTAAGGTACTTTAATAAATTTTATTAATACATTCATAAGTCTGAAAAGTGAAATTTAGAGTTAATTAAATTTATTATTAATTATATTGATAATTAGGAACGTTGTTTTATTTTAATTTAATTCATTATTAAAATACTATAAGAGTGAAAAATTTATTTAACATGAATTCTTAAACAAGTTCACAATGAGAAATACTTAAGTAAATATACATTTATATTTTGCACGTATTTTTTACGACTATCACTGAATAATATTTCAAATACACCTACGTACATTGTATAGTTGAGCAAAACAGAATGTGAAAACTTAAAGATAATGACTGTCATCACGATTCGCGGTAAACTAATTTGCGTAGGTGATTCAACTGAAATGATTATAACTATTTTTTTTTTATCTTTGGAATTCTTAATAATGAAATAAATAGGTACGCTTTGTTCAGTTTATATTATTGAATTGTTTAATGATCTTAAACAAAAGTATTATTTATGCATTTTATTTAAAAAATTCAGTAGTGATATGAAAATATATTTGAAATTTGATCCGAAGTAATAACATAAAGTTCAGATAAGAATTTAAAATTAAATTTACATATTTTTGAACACAAAATTTCAGTTTTCTAATTTTGATACTTAAACATTTACCCTTTTGAGTAGAGTTAAGGTCGGAATTTTTTTCAATAACTTTTGTTTTGTTTGGCTCCATAATTTAATCTTCAGCGCTTTACCTTAGTAAAATTTATTTTAAATAAAAATTCTTTAGGTTAATTACGTAAAATACAAAAATGATTAAATATATGATGCGAACTTAAAATTTTAGACGTAACAACACCACTGTTCCTTTTCTTTAATTTTTTAACTAAAAATGATATGAGCGCGCACAATAGTTCTGGAAAAACTAGTGTTATTTACACGATACAGTTTATTTGGTTTTTTCAATGTACATATCTCGGTTTTAACATAATATAGACTCTTAAAATTTTAAGTATAAATTATGCTTTAGAAGCTTTTAACGTTGAAAAAAAATAAGCCCATAATATTAAGTCCTTTTAATTATAATATACTTGTAGAAAATTAAAACGTATTTTAGTCCTCAACTAGCCAATAACTGGTCAAGTGTTTAACTATACAATTAAAAATGTAGTGTTGATCTTCTACGCTATCTTTTTTCACTTTTTTTTACATGTACTTCTATGTACGTGTGAAGTGAATTTATAAATTAAAGAAAAAACAGACTTGGACACAAAGTTTTCTTTTTAGAATTTACATTTATGTTTTTATGAGAATAACTATCATTTTAAGTTTTGTAAACTTTATTAATATATTAAAAAGTACCTAGAAATTCAAAATAATAGAAATATTCATATTTACATGATAATAATAAAAAATTTGAAACATACTTCATACATACGACTTTGAGGATTTGTGTTAAATATTCTCTTAAGAAGTTTATAAAATTATTTAAGATAAGATATTTCACAAATCATAAATACATTGTTACTCTTTTTATGTACTATTAGCATTTTTTTACTTAGTATATAATAAATAATATACTAAAATAAATTTATAATGTTATGTGATACTAATTTAAGAAACTTTAAAACTTTGACGAAGTTAAAAAAGTTTATGTTATCAAAATTGATGAATACCTATTATAAAGCTTCAAGCGTTGCATTTCTTAAACGTGTTTGTTTCCGCTAAAAAATTAAGTTGTTATTACTAACAAATTGTGTGTGATGCAAAATCCTTCTAATTAAATATTTATAGTACTTTAAACAAGTAATTACCTATTAATTATTTAGTTTAACTCTGGTAATTAATATTTTCAATAAAATTTGTATAAAATATAATTTTTATACCATTTAAATTAAATCAATTTTTAATATAAGACAAATGACTTGGGAGAATTTATTAATTATTGTTAAGAGAGGTGTGTAAATGAGATCACTTACTTTATAAAATCAGGGTTTTGTTCGAAATTCATTATTATTATTATTACTCTAGACACTAATTCTTTCAAAATCAACTAGCGTTCAATTTTAATTACTTATACGCACGGAACACATTTTATGTTCACTGAATGGAACGAGACGCATACATAACTGCGTGTGAGTACAATTCTTGTTACCATAGGGACCTAAGTTCTATGTAATAGCAAAACAGTATAGAGCAAGTCTTCATTTTACACTCCAATTGTAGAAAAAAAATTTGATAAGGTAAAAATGGAATTGTCTACGCAAAGATACACAATGATATTAATTTTACAAGTGATGCTGTTGGTAGTAGATCTTATATTCAATACATTCATCTATCGGTTTCTTGGTAACACCGGAATATCCATTTTACTTTTTGTGTTAGTAATGTATAATTTTTTTAATTTAAACAAAAATGTATTAATTTTATATTTATAAAACAGGTTACAAGACATAAGCCAGTTAATCGCTTTTGCTGTACTTCTCATCACTTTTTTTCAAACAAATATATTTCAAGTAAATATGAAATACCTCAAAATAGTTTGTATATATTATATAAATATATGATATGTTTTATTTTCAGGCTGGGTTCATAGTATTACTATTCAATGAGTTCCGTTCAACAGTTATTACTGGTGTGGGTTATTTTATATTTACTTTATTTGTACAAGCATGGACATTAACAAACCGAATTAAAGGCCAAGTTTACTTTTTTTGGCCAGATGGATTATACATATTTTTCGTGTTACATAAATTTAGTAAGTACTACCAATAATTACAATAAAGTTTAATTAATCTAATAACTTGTAAAATCTAATTAACAAAATAATATAATTTATTTAGTAAAAATTTTTTATTAAATTTTCAGCATCTTGTTTACACTATTATTTGTATAAGAGGACTGCATTAAGTATATCAGATCCAAAATTTTATACGGATGAATGGATAAACAATCGGATAAATCAACACTCGGAACAAACAACTCCAAAATTCTAATTTCACATTGTTTTGGTACAAAATTTAAATACAAACATAAATAAACTGTTAGTAAAAAAAAAACAATTTTTTTGGTAACAAGAAAATAGAATTTTATGGTGTACATATTAGACGATTTTGGTGTAAAAGTTATACTGTGATAATATACATAAAACTGAGTAACATAATCTCAACAAATTTTGAAATTTATTCATTAAAATGTAAATTATAATAAATTAAGATGCATAAATTAAAAAGCTTCAAATAAATCATACTAGTCAAGATCAGTAATGTTGTAATAAATAATTTAATAATTATCATTTCAATTTAAAATAAATAGGGGTTTAAACAAAATAAAAGATACATATATTAAATAAACAAAGAAAATAATTTAAAAATATATATATTTAAACTTATTTAAGTGTTACAACCAACATAAAAAAAAGTATATAAATATATGTCAAAGCAAATTAAGGTGGTTTTTAGGATACTACCTATTCTTGAGTCAGAATATAAAAAATAAATAAAATAAATTACTTAATAGTTATTTTTTACAATAGTAAAATAATTTAAGATTTGTATTTTTTGGTTTTTAATTAATATAGTTTTTTTCCAACACGTATAATAAATAAATAAAAAATTTCATTAATTTTTAACTGGTGTATGATTGTTTGTTAAAGTGAAAATCAGAAACAAGAGAAAAGTGATCCGATGGATATGAAAAAGATGGTACTCTATTTTCACCAACATCTTTTTCAGTTGGCATGTTTAATATTGCACTAACGGTTAATTTTTGTTTGGTGTAAAATATGTAGTCAATAGTATGCATAACCTCGCCTTCTCCTCCTCTTATTTTCCATGAGGTATAAGGTGGTTCTGAGCCAGATACTTTATAAGCGCTATCCAATGGTAAAGAGGGGTAACTACACATAGTATTATAAACTGGCTCAATAGGTTCAGCATTGAAATCTCCACATATAACTGTTGGTCGTTCACCAGTATGTGAAGATATAAATTCTAGAAGATCTTTACCTTGTTCATTTCGTAATGTTGACAATAAAGCTCCTTTTCGAGCTTTAAGATGAGTGGTGGACACACATAATTCATTGCCTGAACATTTGTCTTTTAATATTAATAACAATGATACCTATTAAAAAAAAAAAAATGTCTTAAAATGTAATAAAATTTAAAAGATAAATAAATATTTATAATTATATTATAATACCTGATTACTATGAACTGTCCATACTTGCAAAATCTTTTCATGTTTTTCTAAGAGATCAAACTTATTGTTTTTATAAAATATGGCACATCCATCTGGCCCATTATTATCTTTAATGTATACACATGGAGAATCTGGTTTAGGTACAAATACACCACTGTATGATTGAGTAGCCAGGGCTCTACTTAGGAAATCAAAATGATCAACTTCCTAAAATACAAAAATGGTCAAAAAATACTATACATTTAAGAAATACTTTATTATAATAAGAGAATGTTTAATTATACAAACCTGTAAACAAATAATATCAGGGTTGTGTCTCAGAATTTCTTCAAGCATGTGACAGCGACGTCGTTTCCATTCTAAAGCTTCAGGTGGACAAAGATCAAATTTATCATTATTCTGACCTAATGCTGTAAATAAATATATTTGATATAATTTATAGTTTTAATAAACATTACTCTCAAATACAAACCTTGTGATAGAACGTTCCACTGAAGAACTCTTACAACATTATTCTCTACATTTTTAGGGTCTAGACAAAACATTAAAAATGGTTACATTTCAAAAAACTATATTAGAAAATATTATATAATTCTATAAAATATATAGTTATATATATATATTAGTTAGTATTTAATTTTTTTTTTATAGAAAAAAATTATGCAAATTAAGTTATGGAACGAATATAGTTAAAAAAAAATATTCATAAAATTTATAGTTAAGTTTTATAAAAGTTTAACTGAATATAGAAAATTACAAAAAATAAATAGTAATTAGTGAGATTTTTTTTTTTTTTTTATAAAATAAAAGTATTACAAACAAAAATTTCCACTTTTATTTCGCTAATTATTTTATAAGTTAACTTATTTAGTGTTACATAATTCTGATGAGATCTCTACAATATCATCTAACATAAAAATACATACATAATAATACGCTCCAAAAGTAAAATAGTTTGTTTAAGATTCCATAAAAACATGATCTATTTTTATTCAAATTTTAATACTGGATTTGACAGTGATTTAATTTAAAATTAGAATAGAATGAATTAAATGACTTGTACAGAATTTTGTAATAATGAAGTCATTAAAATAATCAATTTACAAAATTTGGATATATCACATAAATACAGAGGGGTTTACTTAATATTAGTATTATGTTAAACTAACCATACGGAATTGTTGAAAATGTCCTATGGATAAGTGATGTTTGACACTGATTATTGTGTTTTTGACAGTAATCCAATAATTGTTGTACTGAAGTTTTAGGTTCAAAATCTAGATCTTTATCTTGTGAATCTTCATTATCTATTTTAATAGATGAAGTGAAACTACCCATCCTAAAAATATATAAAAACAAAATAATATAGAAAAGCTTTTATAATTTTTTTATTTTTCAAACATGCCAAACTAAACTTTTTAAATTAAAATTTTCAGATACACTACAATCAACCACTGTTGCTAAGGAGTTTTCCAAACATTTTTAAATGAGTATTATTTCCAAATTGCAAAATTATGCACTAATTTATGAGCATACATGTCTAACTGCCAGGCTCTTACCAAATATATTTTAAAAATGTTGACCTCCTCATCCTGATTGAGCGTTTAACTCGGTTAAAATAACTGCTGGAGCAGTACATTCGTGCTGACCACAATAGTTGTGGCCGTTGCACAGAGTATCGCATAACAGACCTAATCATTTAATGTTATAAAGTATATTTTAATAATTCACTAAATATGATCACCGACAGAAAAATAATTTAATAAAATTAGTACATCATCGAAAAACTAAGCCTCCCATCATTTAAAACAATACCTACAATATTTCTTCAATGTAATTTTCTGTGCGTTTCAAGTAGTACATGTTATTAATTGAATAGAGGGCATTTACTGACTAATGCCAAATGACTAAGGCGGAGTGCGATAAAGGTGGGAGAATGCCCGAGAAAGTAACAATGAATTGGCGTGATTATAATATCTAATTAAGCAAATCATCGACTACTGTTTACAAACTAAAAAATTTAACAAACACGAAAATGAAAGAAAATTATTAGCAGCTTATACGACTATCGTGAATGCTGATAACGTCGATTGTTATCTCTTATCAATTACAGTAGTGTAGTTAACTCATTATCTAAACCTAGACCTTGTACAAAATTTAAACAACATGGTCACCGACCTTTCCAAAGCTAGTCTCTTGAATCGCGGTTCCAAGTCAACAAACAATGGACGTGGAGAAGTCGAACTATCTGTCACAACTTTTGAGGAAACAACAACTTCTTCAGCGTGTGCCATTTTTATCAGAAATCTATCTGCTACAATTTTGTATTCAAAATGGAACTTTTGATGCTTGCAGATATTATTCACTATCAATGGACACGACCACTACGAGAGCCCCGAGCAACTGTGTAAAAACTTGTCCACAAATACAATTGCGTCTCTTATTTATTGTGCAATGTGCGCTCCGTATTCGTCACAGTTATGCAAATATTTTTTTCTATGCTTTTATTATTTTCTATTTTATTATTATATATGTTTTTTTGTTACTCGATATTTTCTCAAAGCCGTTTATAATAACAATAATGATAATCTCCAACAATCGAATAATATTCAAAGCGTGTGCATTCGTTTACTACCGTGTGGCTGTTACATGAGATTGTTAACAATAAACCGTATAGTATCACATCACTAGATCTCTGCACTATTGACACTGCGGTCACGACGAAGTCTTGTTGTTCTTCCATTATGATTTTCGATGTCAATCATCAAAATGTGCAATCATTTTCAATTATTATTATTAAATATCTATATTTGTCGAATCTCATCTACTCTATAGTAAAGTTGGTCATTATGCATTTGTTTTATGACTGTGTCGTTATAACATCTAAATGTTAAATGTAGAGAATAAAAGGAAAGTTACTTTAACTCCTGAAAACTGACCCGTAACTGTCATTCTACGCCTAGATTACTTTCGACGTTAAAATTTTTAGAATTACATATGACTACATAGTTTAGAACGCACTAAGTTAAATTAAATTTTATACGGTTATGTCGACTGTGAAGATTGGTTTATTCCATTACATGAATACACGTTAACAACATTTTGATCCCATATAGTATAAAAATTTTAACAATCCAAAAGAACTTGAACTTTTGAAATTAATTTCTTAGTTATTAGATTTTGTTGTCAATATTGACTTAAAATGGACGGCAAAATCTTAAAATGAATCCTCTACACATTTTTTCTAGTTTTTTGAGCTTCGACGAAAAGGTGGAAGGTATTTTTTTTTAGAATTTCCATTATATTCACATAAATTTTGCAATACTAATCAAACAGCGCAGTATATTCAAGAAAGAAATCAACGATATTTGTATTGATATATATAATGGTATTTTTACACGATTTTATTACTTTGAACATAAATAAACAGTTGTATAAAATTTAAAACGCAAGCTAAGAAAAAAGTTTTTCATACTGTAAACTATGTATGTATGTTTAGTAGGAAGTTTTCAAAATAAATAAAATGCAAATGTAGATAAAGCAGATAGAACACACATAATATACACTAAGTGATAAAACACAATACTTACTGTTATGTAAAGATTAACACATACGAATTGTATGTTAGTATATGAAAAAAAGTAGACACGTGTCACGTTAGTTTGAAGTTACAGAAAATATATCATCTAAATTATTTTTAAAGTATATATCAAATATGTTTTAGCTTATTTTAATTTGATGGGTTTCTATTTCGACACCCATAAAAAAAATACCACAAAACTCATTTATGTTATAAGAGACATCAGTGGTTTTGGCTATAAAGAAATTTCAAACCTATAATTTCTATGGGTTATAATTGCAAGACAAATTTTTAGCCCCCTCAAAACAGTCGTCTCATACAAAAAATTTAAAGTACAGTGAAAAGAAGTATTAAATAAGATTAAGTAATATTTAATTAATACAAAATCATAATCAGTTAATACACTTTTTATGTTCAACACAGAGTGATCTGTTTAACATAAATCACTCAATTACTCGCATAATAAATACAATGTTAGTATTATTGTTTAGACCTCTAGTCGCTCAACGATCACCTGTGATTTAGTTCTAACTTGATGTTTGTATAAAATCTTTCCGTCTTTATTGTCAAACTAATTAAATCTTACAGATTTTTAAAGACTTTGACACATTTGATTTTAGATTGCTGATTTAATCTCTTGATATACTTGGTAAAGGGGGACTCCTTTATTGTCCTGGTTAAACTCATATTTTCCTAACCGCTTTCAATTCATCTCTGTTAATAGTGCAAATTCCACTTATTTTTCTCTGCCGTCAGGTGATGCTTAAAAGTCTTATCCCCTCTACTTTTTTATTTATATATTAATTACGCTCCATCTGTACTACTTCATTCTAAACACTTAACTTTTGCTGATGACATGAAATTTTTTATGCATATAAAATCAATTTCTGATTGTTATTTGCTCCAATTTGACTTATCTCAACTCGTTATTTGGGTTGATTAATTAGGACAAATTCTGTGTTTAAAATCTTAAATTAATATAAAGGAGACAACATTTCATATTGGACGAATACCAGACTGACCATGAAAAAAAGTGATTTCTTTATTAATATTTAATTATTTTAAAAAATTTGTCAGTTATCATTAATTATTAATGCACCTCTGTTAAAGGGGTTTTGTGAATAAGCAAAGCCACCGATAGACTTGTTTAGGATCTCGCGCTTAATAGAGTCTCACCAACATAAATAAAAATCAAAAAAAGGCCTTCTTTACTAAATAAAAAAAAGGGTCATGCAAAAACAATTATACATTGGTCCAATAATATTTAGCGCTGGTGCTGATCCTGTTAAGCTGATAAAGCAACGCATTAAAAATTCATTTTTTGAAAACGGATAATGCAACCAATGTAACACGAGATTAGTTAAATAGTATTCAAATTATATTTACGGAGTTCAAGGAAATATATGGTTTTTTATGAAAATATATTTCAAACTTGAGGATACTCGAATAGTATTATGTATCAGGTAATTATTATTTTTTAAATATTTATGTTAAAAAGTGCAAGTCATGGTATTAATTATTTAAAAATATTCCTATCGACAGACATTAAATTAATTATCATTAAAACGAGTTAAATGTATTTGTTTTTAACGTTGACAGTTTTGACGTTTCGGCGAATATTTAAACGTTTTAAAATTATAAAAATAAATCGAAACAAAAAATACTTAAATACATTATCCGCAACGCGTGAAGCATTTTAGACATATTTGTGGATTTTGAATGAATAAATTAAGTTTTTTTTCAATACATTTAAATTAGACATAATCTATTTTGTGTTTTTGTACTTCGTACAATATAAAAAATTAGCAATATTGTAAGTAATAATATTCATAGTAATTGATATTTTATTTTAGGTTGTACATCATGTATTTATTATCTTTAACGCAGATATTATGTGATGAGAAATGCGGAAGTTAAATACACTTTACTAGATTCATAGATTATGGACAAAAAAGTATTTCAAGAAACAGAATTAATAAAAATCATAACTGGTCAAAAGTTTTGACATACAATCTCTCAAATGGAAACTGTAATAATTACAGTCTTCATATTATAATTAGTCAAGTAAAAAATCTGGACAAAAAATTAACTCCGTTATACATCGGCGAATCAATTTTTTTAAACATTGACTTTTTTCTAATTAGATTTTAAAGATATTTGGCCAAAGACTACTAACGCAGTCTGTCGTTATTTATATAATATAACTGTAAATCGTGTTTTTTTGGATGATCTGCCAAAGCTACGGTACAGTCAACAAGTAATTGTGAGTTCACCGTCATTTTTAGTGCCAAGGCGACAACTTTAACGTACTACGTTAGCGTACAACGGACTTTTTCTTGTGGTTCCAAGGCCACTGAAATTGACTCAGTTTTATGATGAAAACATAATTATTGATTTGATCTATGATAACACGTCGAAGGTAGTTTAGATCTCCGAGTGTCTGTAACTCTACATTTGTATATAGTTTTTATGTTATCGTTAATTATTAATGTAAATTTTTATGTGATTTAATCCAACGTTTAGGTGGGGTATGTGTATAGTTTATTGACATTGTACAGTGTACTAAATTAAGCGAATATCGTTTTTCTGTAGAAGTCGGTAAGAAATAATTCATTTAATATTAGTATGGGACATTCAGATGTATCATACAAGAGAAAGTAAAGTAAATATAGGCACTCCCACATTATTAAAATGATGAGTCATTTTATTTATAAAACAAACAAAACAATCTAGATTCGAGCGTTAAAAGTTAAGGCCGTTTTTATAATTTTTGGAATAATAAAACTCAAAAAGCTATAATGTACAAAAAAACCTTGCTTATATTCACATGTATTATTAAAAGCATGAATAGATTAAAACACTTTACACTCTAGCCGAAAATATGTAATAAAATTATGTGTAATTTAATTATTCAGACAGATCCATGTGCTACATGCGTGTCGTGCAAAATATTTTTTGTAGTGAATTTACTTAACGTAAAATCATTGCTTTATCTGTTGGTTAACTAAAATTCTTATCGATAAAAAATAAGAGTTGAATGTAAGTAAAATATGTTTAGCTTTGTATGAAAATTATCTACTTTTCTATGACAATTATGAAATAAAGGAGACCCTAAGCCCAATATCTTTACTTAAAATTTATTCAAACATAAATATTTTGAGTAGCCACTATCAATAAAAATTAAAAAAGTTATACTGAGACCAATTTTAAACTAGAATTATTCTTTGAAGTAATTTCAGTACTAATTTCCAAATGAAAATTTTAATTAATTTTATTGGAAGTCAAAACAAACAGAAGTATTGTTATGAATACAAAAAGAATATTTTATTTACTCACAAAACTAAGTTCTCCATACTTCATAGTGGGGTAGAACTCGCAAATCAAACTGAGTATAATTTTTCTACCCGTATAGATATTATGTTTACATTTAAACTTGCATTTAATTGTTTCACGACTCAGAACTCATACATGAGTCGACGAAATACAAATATACCTACTGAATGCGTAAGGCTTCAAATCAATCATTATTTTGTTCACAACTATCTTTATGGTTGAACTGGTAACAATGAAAACTATATTGTGCGTTTTGTGTCGAATTAAAACAATAATAACATGTTAATTTATCGAAACATAATAGTTGTTTCACTTTGAAATTGTATAAATCTCTTATACAATGTAAACACTAAATAATTATAATTATAATTCATATTTATTATACAATTAAAATATTAAATCCTATTCCAATTCAAAATATATAAATAATAATAATATAAAAATATAATCATTTACTAAAGTTGAGTTTAATCATAGAAAGTTATTTTCATACTACTATTACGTCCCAAAAAGTTTTTGTTTTTAATTGTGTTATTACTTTAATGGTTCTTAATTTATCAATAAAGCACATGAATTGAATTGAATGAAAATAAAGTAAATTGTGTTTGCATGTTTCGAAAAGCTAAAGTATTGAAGAAATTTTTAGTAAACGAAATATTATTATTGCCAAAACCATCATTATTATATAGCGAAAGAAGTTTTTTGACCATTTAATTATAAATTAACTAATAGCGTATGATACAGTAAATAAACTAATATTTTAAATTAATGACTATAATCAATAAATTTCGAGTCATTAATTTTTAATAATTATTTTAAAAATATAATAGTTATAAAAATCTGTTATTTTTATCCAAAAACTGATAAGTTACAAACATGGGTTTTCTAGAATTTGCATAGAAAAGGATATTTTCTGTCTTGGGATAATGTTGACTTATCAGCTTTTGAGAAAAAGCCACTGAAGTTATTTATATTGAAACTGTAATAATTTTTATTTCCCGTGGTTTTATTAGAAAACTATTAAGTTAACTTTTACAATTTAAATGAATAATTTTCACTAGTAAAAAATTTGGACTTAATTAAAATTTTCAATTTAAGATGTGCCTATTAATTCTATAGTTTCTTATGCAACACAATTTAATATGGATATTTAAAGTTTATTCTAATAATTGTTTAACTATTGAACGTGTAGTTTGTATAGAAACCAAAAAGAACGATTTTAAATTGCAATCATAAAACATTTTTTTTCTTTAATTACATTTAAGACAAACTTAGTATGATAATTTAATTAGAAAATTTAAATGTCAATAATACGTTTAATGTAAATTATTCTGTTTGCAATTAAAAAAGTTTATTAATTGTATAAAATAATGAAACAATTATTAATTAATAGTTTATATTTTCTTTGTAGCAATTAAATTTTTCATTTATTAGATGTC